TGTGTTTGTATGTAAGTATATAATTATTAATAGAGCTTTACTTACTATGGTGTTCTTTGTGGCTGAGTGATAGCACACTGGATCAAATGGTGGTTTCCCCTACAAAGGTGGATGCAGGTTCATTCCTGGCTGGAAAACACATTTTCTTTACTAAGTTTTCTTGAGTGCACAGGCTGATATATGTAATAAAGTATTGTTTTAAATAAATGGAGCATCTACTCAAGTATAGGTATCCATTAAAAGTAAGATTTAAGTAATAAAAATATGTCGGATTAGTATATAAAAATCCATCAATTGCTTTCTTTACATTTCGGAAAAGAAACTGATCAAACAACAGTTTCTCCTGCAAACGGAGACTCAGATTCAAACCCTGTGGTGGTGGTGGTGGTGGGGGGGGTCCTGTTTTATCTAATGAGACTTCTCAAATGTACAAACCAATAGACGGAATAAAAATACTATTTAAAAAAGTAAACAGAGCATCTATTCAAATAAGGGTATCCACTAAAAATAATGTTTAAAGCAATAAAAATGGACTCTTTTGTTTCCATGCACACCTGGTTGGCTAGCAAAGCCCAATTACAGATGCTTGCTCAACCCACAGAGTCTAAGTAAGCTGAACAGTTTCTGGAAGAGAGTGCATAATCTGGTATGATTAACTTTTTAATAAGGCCAGCATGTTCAAAGCCTCTGTCACAATGACTTGTGATTTTGTGCTAGCACAACCTTTGATGGCTTCCATATGGTTCCATCTACACAGTTTGATTCAAGGTTTGAGTTAACCGATGATGAGGCCTTCAATCATTTTGCAACGGTGCTGCACACAGCGATCACCTCCTTAGGTCGATATTATCAAAAAGTCTACCCATCTCCCGACAAATTGACTATAGTGAGATTCAAATCTGGATCTTATGGCCAGAATGCAAACATTCTAACTACTCAATCAAGGTCACACGCACACACATTTTTACATATATATATATATATATATATATATATAGCACTCGTGGCCTGACGATTGCATCTAGCATGAAACAGACTATCACCTCTAAGTGTTGACTTCTATGTTCACTTTTATATTTACACATGCTCTATCTCTGATATTGAGCACTTTATCCCATAAATATAGATCTTAAGACTACATCTTAAGACTATATTTCCTCATATAAGTGGATGTTGAGGTCAACACCCAGCAGCAGCAGTCTGTTTCATGCTCAAGACCATATGCCCATAGCCTGAAGATTGTATTTATAATTATATACACTCTCTCCCTGATATTGAGCACTTTAGCCCATAAATATAGGATATCTTGAAACTATATTTTTTATTGTGTACATTTATATGTGTGTGTGTGTGTTTATATATATATATATATATATATATATATATATATATATATATATATATATATATATATTTCGTAACATCCAGAAGCAGTTCATTTTGGTTTGGTTTTTTCCTCCTCATATTCTCATAGAATATTTTGATAGTAACTTCCAATTTGCTTATAATAATGGAACCAAGTGCAAGGAAAGCAATCTGAGTTAATTGATTGCTTCTTCAGTACACTGCCTCCATAATACAAAAAAAAAAAATGATAGGACCAAATCCATGGTTTAGGCACAGTTAGATATAATGGCCTAACCTCAAAGTCCCATGTTGTGCCAATTTAACTGACTGCAAGCAAGAAAAATGAAGGAATAAAAATTATTCTTAACACAGATGTACTAAAACCAATTCCAGTAAGCACATCAAAAGGTATTAATTAATCTAAGCCTGGTCTGGCAGAAGGCCACAATTATGCAACACCCTTTGAGGACTGAACTCATTATTACAGTATTAATGTTCTGCAAGACAAGCTTACCAAATATCTACTTGAGAGTGAAATGCTCTTATAGATGTAATGATA